AATGTGGGCGTTGTTCTGGGGAGCACGACACAAAAGCCTGCCCTAAAACTGAGGCACTTAAGTGTGCCAACTGTGTCCGCCTTGGACTAAAGGGCGATGCTATCGCCCATGAGGCAAACGACGTAAAGTGCCCGGCCTATGTTCGGAAATATGAGGCCACAGTTCAGAATACGAACTATGGATAATGTAGAGCATGTATTCAAGATCGCCCAAGTCAACCTGCAGAACTCGAGGGTGGCAACCTCTGAGGTGAGGGTGATAGCAGAAAAGCTAGGCTGGGACATACTCTTGCTTCAGGAGCCATACACATATCGTCAGCCTTTCACACAGATGACGAGGATTGGTGATTTCTCGCGTAGCACCAGGGTGCTCGCTGACTTCCACGATCGCTTTTACAGCGCAATCGTTGTGCTCAATCCAAGTGTAGACGTCTTGCACATTCAGCATCGCTGTAGTCCTTACGTCGTAGTCGCCAATTTAACTCTCAGTGGAGAGAGCATATATGTGGTCAATGTCTATTGTCCCTCGGCTGAAAACCTAGAGGAATTCGTAGAGGAGCTCGACCGTGTCGCGGAAGAGTTGAGTGGACAAAAGATAATCATGGCAGGGGATTTTAATGCCAAATCCCATCTCTGGCATTCTGGCCGAGTGGACGATAGAGGTCTAGTATTGGAGAACCTTATAGCAAGCCACGACTTGCACGTGTTAAACACGGCGAATCAGCCGCATACTTTCTGGAGTGTCAATGGGAGTAGCAACATCGACGTGACGATCGCGTCCGGTGGGCTTCTCCGGCTACTCGAAGACTGGGTTGTCAAGCCCGACCTTGTGCAGAGCGATCACAGGGTGATAGCATTCAATGAACGCGTTAGATTACGACCATCCTCCACACGGATTAAATATACCTTAAAGGGAGCTAACCTCGAGCAGGTTAGGGAACACGCAGCCGATCTTATGCGTGTTCTCGAGATGGATCAACACTGGGTTCCAGGTGTTGAGGGCATTGAAAATCGTGTGGAGGCACTAACAAGAATGCTAGTCGACCTATGTGATCGTGACCTGCGCAGAGTGTCGGTAAAGGACACCCAGGCCAACTGGTGGACAGGTTGTCTGTCCGCCTAGCGTCGCCGGCTTAATACAGCCCGGAGAGCTATAAAGCAACTCCGCGGCGATGCTCCAGAGAGATTAAAGTTCGAATACCGGCAACTAAGGCTCCAATACAAAAGATCAATTGACTCCGCGAAGCAAAAGTCATGGCAGGACTTTTTCCACAACCAGCTTGAACGTGACCCATGGGGAGCAATCTACAAGATCTCCTTACACAAGGCTCGACTTCCTACTATCCTGGCAGCCATCTCGCTAGACGAGAATACATATACGCTTGACCACGCAACCACTCTCTCTGCTATACTCCACCATCTCTCACCAGACGACTCTGGTGAGAACGAGACTCCCGATCACTGGGGCATTCGAGCTCGTGCAGACCGAGCAGTGGGGAATCTAGAAATAGATTCCTCCTTTACGCAGGATTCTCTTGACGCTGCGATAGCACGTCAACCGTCGGGCAAGGCTCCAGGCCACGATAAAATCCCCAGTGATCTTATCAAAGTCGTATACCCTGAAATCGGCGACTACCTACTAAGACTGTACCAAGACTGTCTGAACTTTGGGCACTTTCCTCAATCGTGGAAGAAGGGCGCGTAAGTCACCATTCTTAAAGCTCCTGACAAGGATCCCTCGGATCACAAGTCCCTCCGGCCCATTACGCTACTACCTGAACTAGGCAAAATCCTTGAGAGACTCATACTCTATGAGATCCCCAAGGCAATACCCGATGCCGACTTGCTCCACCCTGGGCAGTATGGTTTTAGACAAGGTCGTTTAACAATACATGCGATGACGCATCTCCATGATGAGATTCTGAACTCGCCTCGTAAATACGTGGTCGGAATATTTCTGGACATTGCCGGCGCTTTCGACAATTTATGGTGGCCGGCTGCGCTTGTCACCATGCATGACAAAGGTCTCCCCCAAAAGTTGGTTGGACTATTGCTCAACTCCGTCTATAACTGGATGGCGAAACACAAACTTAGCGTATCTATCGCTAAAACGAACTATGTGTTGTTCAAAGGGAGCCTTCGGAGAAATCCGAGCATACGAATGGGCCCGCATAACATCTCGTGGGTCCCCGAGATGAAGTATCTCGGGGTGATCTTTGACAGCAAACTTAGTTTTGCTTCTCACGTCTCGTACGTGACTAACAAAGCTAAGACCATATACTCCACGTTACGACGATATGTTAGGCAAGTATGGAATCCGGAACTTGTTCCGGCTTTGAAGGTTATCGTTAACGGGGCCATCGTCCCTATACTGTCGTATGGAGTGGAAATCTGGGGTCACCGTCTAACGAATTTTAGAGTCGTTCGAACTCTCGGGCAGATCCAGGGGCTTTATTTGAGGACCATCTTGCGGGCGTATCGCACCGCCCCAGTGGAGACGTTATGCGTGGTGGCGAGACAGCCGCCGATTGATCTCCTTTTGTCTGAGATCAGGGCACGGCGTGCAATTAAGAGGCACGGGGAAGGGACCCATGTTGGGGAGCGACTTGTGGTTGCTGGGTTCCAATACCAATGGAAAATTGACCAACACCTGAGAAACTTATCTCTGGCTCGTTGGGAAATTCTTTGGTACGCAAGTCCCAAAGGGCGTTATACCTATGACCTTTTGAGCCCCTTTCAAGAGTGGCTAGATTCACCTTCAGTTATTCTCTCTCCTGCTATGATCCAACTAATAACTGGGCATGGCAATTTTGGATTACACCTGCACCGGATCGGTAAAGCACCCACATCGAACTGTGAGTTATGTGGAGTGTGTGACGATCCACCGCATAGGCTGTTCGATTGCCCGCTGCATAATGAGACCAGAATGGTAGCAGAGACCGTGTTGGCGATTGGCGTAACAAGACCCAACTTCCTAACGCTGCTCCCCCGTGTCGAGGACACTCTCGACTTGCTAGTTAGATGAGATACCAGAGTCCCCCTTTATGTTTGTATATGTCCCATATACATTTACGTTTAGTTTAGGTTAAATTAAGTGTGTGTTTAGCTTTTAGTTTAGTACTTTCTGCACACCCGAAGATGGAGAAACCGCAAGGTATGTGCTATCTTCCATCTGCAACTTGTTGCAGAAAATATTATTATTTGTCCGTTTGTCCGCAAATACTATATTATTGTGCATAACCGCCATTTACCTTTTGTATATTCATGAGAGGACTGCTCCTTAAGAGCAGGGGTGGAGGAATTTCAATTCGGGCCTCTCAATTTCTGAGCAGATGAGGATGGGGAGTTCAAACAATTAATGTTCAGCTATGCCATTACAGACGCACACTTCCAACTAAATATTGCAACCCATCGCTATTTATAATTAGCTCGCTTGCGTAATCAGCCGTGAGATATATTGCTTATGCCGCGGCAGGCCGTATTCCAGCCGTAAGCGGGCCGGCTAGGGCAAGCCAAACGGTTTTGCAGCGGCATGCCGAATTCTGGCCGATTTTGGTTAGAACATGGCCAAACGGTACCGGGCTAACATAACGCGGGCCATAAGCAGGACGACTGGGGGCAAGCCGAACCGCCGCGGCGGTCAACCGCCTATGCCGAGCGAAGGCCGACTGTTTGCCGAGTGTTTGGTGCTTACTGGGGTATATTATAATTTGTAAATTAATATAATTCACCTCTTGTGCCAACAGTTTTATGCATTTTATTTCATTTAATATAATATCTTCAATTATACTCAATAAAAAAAAATCAGCAAAAAAATATTTCAAATTTCCTAAATTATCTAAGAAAAATCCTTAGGGACACGTGTCTCTTTTGATCAATTAACTTCAAATTTTGCAAGAATTTGTTATTTTTCTAATTTGGAACTGATGTGTGGGTCCCGCCAAATTTAATTTAAAAAAAAATTATACAGGATGTTTAAATTTATACAGGGTGTTTCCATTATCTTTAAATTTTGACCTGATACAGCTAAACCAAGAACGGATTTGTAATCTACGACCAAAAATTAAGTTTAGCTGTGATATTTTCATCTTCCTAAAGTGTATTTGTGAATAGATCAATTTGAGGTCACTATTATAATACATCATGCATAAATAACATAAACATCGGATTAAAATTTTATCATATGTACCTTCAGCAACTTGCTCCATGTATCGTCGAAGAAATCGCGCACTTTAAACAAAATCTACAGACTCGGTTAACAGATCGTAAAATTTGACGTCTCGCTTAGGTATGGCGCGCCATGGCGGTAGGCCCTCTTACTCGCTTTCTCAAAGCCCAAATGAATAACATAGACACATCTTTTTGGCATTTGGTGCAGAAATATTTTCTTTATAGAATACCGTATTTGTTTTACAAAAAAAACATTGATTTTTTCAATTTTGGCCAGCTTTTTCCCTTTTTCGACCACTGTGCATAAGGAAAAAGTGTAAAAAATTGAATTTTACTACTTGTACATAAACAGTTAAAACTTTGGTACTTATCCATAGATTTCTTTTGAAAACACTTTTGGAAAATTGGTGACATATTTTAATGTTTTTTATTCATACTAAAATAGTAAGGGTGATCCTCGGCAATTGTCAAAATGTTAGAATTTTTATCACAACCGTGAGTATAGTGTTGCAACGAAATTATTTAAATAATTATTTGTTTGTAAGCGACCGCCTCCAGACGTTTAATCACATCATGTATTTTAAGATAAAATTGTTTTTAAAATGATGGTGTTTTTAAAAAAATGTTTTGCAAATAACGTCCCTTTAAATTATATTCAAACCGAAATTGTTTTTAAGAATTGAAAAATATTTTAAAAATTTCGAGGTCTCGAAAAAAAAGGAACATTCAGCATCACTTATCCTTAAATATATGGTATTTATATCTCACATTCATACAATAATAATTAAAAATATATACATTGCATATATTTTTAATTGTGGCTTATTATACCTAGAGCTTCCACAGATTTCCCATTCGCCCAATTTCTTAAGTACTCTACTAAAAAAAAAGTATCAAAAATATCCATATCTCCTGTAGGTTGATCTAGTAGAATAATATCGGTATCTAAAAGAAGGTTACATGCCACTCGTAATCTTAATTTTTCGGATATAGTCAGTGATGATACCTTCGTATCTCTAACTTGTTCCAATCCAAGATCTTCTATTAAAATATTTACCTAAAATATATACATATAATTTTATTATGATATTTTGTTTTTGCTTGTTACCCTGTTGTTTAAGGTGATTTTTGATTTAATATCTTTTTTGGATGAGCGTCTAAGATGGTAATGATATTTTAAAGTATGCACAACCGACATTTCATTACAAAGATGAGAATTTGATCTCACATATGCAACTCTACTTTTAAGAACATCTGCCTTAGTTACTTGACCATTTAATAATATTTCTCCAATAATTGAAGTTTTATTACCAGATAATATATCTAGAATAGCTGTTCCTTCTTTGTTCGCTGTTGACATAATAACCATTAATTCACCACCTTTTATTTCAAACGAAACATCATTTATAAGAAGGTGTTGTTTGGATCCGATGCATGATGTTAATTTTGGCCACATACTGACTCCACAAACCTAAAGCGTTTTAATCTATATTTATTTTAAAGGGTAAAGAGCATATCAAGGTGCAGTTAATAATGAGACTTAAGTTAAGGATATATTTCTAGGGTTAAAATATGACGATATTATCAAATCTAAAATGTCCTATAAACTTATTCTTATATAAGGTAGATTTTCAAATTTTGAAAAGACACAAAAACGCCGGGACACATTAACTTTATTTTCGGTCGCAGAAATTAGGGGTGTTTTTAGTTTTTCTAGGTTAGGTTGTTTACTGAAGATATTTCAGATTTAATTTAGGGTACTTTTTGATTCACTTTTTACTATATTTCGCTTAATTTTTATGAATAAGACACTAAAATAACTTTAGAAATGTCTTTATTTATTTTTAATTCATTATAAATATATATTTAACTTTAACAATGATGGCCGTTTATTTTCAAAAGCATACATTTATAATTTTTAATTTTTAGATTTGTATCCTTTTTTTTCATTTTGCCTGAAATTAATCGAAAAAATTCGAGTTTATTTAAATTTGAGAATTCTAATGCTATGCTATTATTTTATAATGAAATTTAAAAATTTCAACGATTAAAAAAAATATAAAAACTTGATTTAGGTATGCAAATAAAAACTCCTGCTTGTTATAAAAAAATAGATTTCCATAACAAATTTTGTAATCAAATGAACAGGTTGCTCAGAAATTAAGAAAACATTAAATTGCTTTAAGAGAGAAGTACCTTTATTTACTATTCTATGGAAATTTTTTATAAGAAAGATTTGTTTACAATTCAAGTTAAATTCTAAATATAAGTCTGGTATCTTCATCTTGTATAAAATTATAAAATTTCTCATGAAGCACTTTTATGTTTTCTTAATTAATAAAATGCATTTCTTAATGATGCGTCATAAGGCACAATTTCCACATCAGCCGATGTGGAAATTGTGCAAAAACAATTGGACTTTTTTTTAGAAACAAATTAGATGTTAAAATAAAAAGTCCTATTTTCTATTTAGACAAGTTTTGCTTATACAAATTTTCTATAAGGCAATAAAATTTATTTTTTATTTAATAAAGGTCAAAACAATAAAATATTTATAAAGGAACTCCTCTCTTGAACCATTTTGTGAGCACCATGTACATTTGATTCAAATTTTCCATAAAAAACTCATTTGTTAAATCAGCAGGAGTTTTTATAAAAATGAGTTTTTTTCTAAAATGCATAGGTACCTAATAAAATTTTCAAATTGCATTAGAAAAGCATCATAATTCTTAAGTTTAAATAACTCGATTGATTCCGCTGATTCCAGGCATGGATAAAAATGAATTTAATAAAAAAAATTAAGAAAAATGCGAAAAATCAATCAAAAACTGGCTAAAAATAAAAAACAATTAATTGTATCCGCCTAAAAATAAAAAATAATCATTGTTAGAGTTTATTTATGAACTAAAAATAAATAAAGACATTAAAGAAGAGATTTCGGTGTCTTTTTTTTAATATAGCAGAAAATTAAAAGAAAAAGTAGTTAAACTTGAATTTGAAATATCTTCAGAAAACGAGCTAACCTAGAAAAGCTAAATTTCTGGACTGAAAATTTAGTTTACGTCTAAAGTCATTTTCGTGTGTCTTTTGCAGGATCCTACAGTGTTATAAACACATATGTATACATCTACTCAAATCTATATATAGATTTGAGTTAAAATCATTTTCTTCTAGTGGAGCTATAACATATTTCTGTGGGTAAAAGGCATAAGGGGATAAGTCAAAAAAAGCAATTTTTCAATAGAGCCTTTAGGGGATACGTGACTAAAAGCAATTTTTCAGTAGAGCCTTAAACGTGTTCGCATTAATTCAGGAAATATTTTTATGTTTAGCGGGTATACGCTTTTGTTAGCATATGACATGTGCTAACAAAATGGTATACCCGCTAACTATAAATATGTTTCCTGAATTAATCCGAATACGTTTAAGGCTCTACTGAAAAATTGCTTTTAGTCACGTATCCCCTTATGCCTTCTACCCACAGATTTACCTGTAGATGAGGATACACAAATGTCGGGTAGTCTTCATCCTGATTTAGATAATTCATTCTTGATGGCCGCCTCTTAGATGATATATGACTTTCAGCTTTGGAAATATGACTTATACTAAAATAAATTTAAAAATTTATTATATGCATCAGTGGCGGACTCGTGGCCTCTAGGACCAAAAAGCAACATTTAAAGTAAAACATTATTCCTATAATGTAACCCACAAGTCACATTGCGATGTAACAATGTTTCTAAAAAACAACGTAAGAGTTACCTAAAATATTAGTAACATTGTTACAAATTAACCAATAGGCAATAGAACCACAACGTAACATTGTGATACTATTGTAATGTAAACAAATTACCAATAAGCAATGTAACATAAACGTATGTTACTATTGTAACCAAATATCGACAAAAATAATTTTCAATATTTATGGTTTAATATTTAAATTATATATAATAAATAAATATAATATAAAAATGTATTATTTAAATTATTTAAAAATTAATTATTAAATTAAATTATTATTAATTAGTATTTATAAGTAGGTAATGGGCGATTCCGTACTCGCGGGTGCAACATTTAGACTCACTTAAGGCTTCTTACTAAGAAAATAAAAACTCTTTTTAAAGAAATGACTGGTCGCAGGATTTCATTATAATCTGTTTTACAAAAATTAATATAAAAAACATTTAATAAAATGTATAAATAGACACAGGAGAGGTTCAAAGTGCTATCGCGGGTGCAACGAAATCGGCCCACCATTAAAGTTCATGAAGCTAGAATGAAAAAAGTCTGTTAATTATGGAATATTTATTGAATTATTTTTACATTCTCTAAAAGAATACAAAACAAACTAACTATTAACTTAAATAAAATTATTAAAATAAATAAATATTATAAATTATTCACTTTTTATCCAGTCGCGGGTGCAACACGTCTCACTGTAGTGAATATAAACATTTCCATGTAACTTTAAATTAAAGATATGAGATCATAGATGCTGTATTATCACTAATTAGCACTTTCCTATGTAACTTTAATAAATTATTTGTTTGGAATAGTCGGCGATTTATCAGCCTTAAGGTTTTCTTCAGAATCGCTGTAAACATCAGAAACGCCTAACTTTTGCGTAACTTTTTTTGTAACTTTTCTACGTTTTTTTTTTAGTAGCAGTTGTCAAAACTAATTTGCTTTTCAAATTAGACTTCGACGTTCGTGCAACACAAATGCTCTTACCCTCCTCAAATTGAAAAAAATGTTTTGATTAAATGGCTGGTATATTTTTTAGTCCTTTCCACCTATCATTTAACATGGTTTTTCATTCTTTAATTTGTTTTTGGGATACAAATATAAAAGAAATTTTTGGAGAAAGGCGACGAGCCAGATCATAAAATTCTTCAGCGTTGTTAACAATTACTTTCCGAGCTCAATTATTAACCGCGGTTACTGATTTGACATTTTATGCAGTTACCGGTTACTCGCTAAAATAGAATGGTTTTAACTTTTTATTACCGCCGGTAACTCGCTAAAAATTCCCTAATGTAATCGTAAGAGTCATAACTGTTGCACCCGCGATTCTAATATTTTAATCGCGGGTGCAACTCATTTTAGTCAACGTTAATTTTAATTAAAATGACAACTTACGTTCTATTGCGACAGAATCAAGTTTTCCTTTTATTTCTTCTTACTTCTACAAAGTTTCAAAAAATTACCAATTTATTTCTTCAAGAAAACCAAACTTTCATTTCTTTTATATCGCGGGTGCAACTGACCAACAATGGTTTCTTATTTAATTAATATTGTTAGAAAAATAATAAAAAATATTTAATTTTTTTATATAAGGCAATAAACAAATGTTATGACTTCAATATTCATCAGTGAAATATAACCTCAAACCACCGGTAATAGCGATTTCGTGGAAAAATTATCAAGTGTCGATGAATAGTTTGCATCAAGTCTTCAGGCGCCACCATTTCTGAGCGCGCCAAAAAATTCAAATAATAACTTAAGTTCTTAAAAGTTTTTTTATTATTAAATATATATCTTTCTCTTTATATTGGTATAAAAAAAGTAATAAACTCTGTGATTTAAAAATGTATGTCAAAAATCGTCTCCCGCGGAATCGCCCTAATGATAAAAAAATAATATTATATATTTATAAAATAGCAATTATTTTAGGAGCAGTTACTGTTATTTGGATATTTAGAAATTATTAACAATATTGTTATTATTTATCTTAATATTATTAGTAATTTTGATATTTACAAAAGTTCTCTTTTAGTTGCACCCTTACTTCCTAAGAAGTCCCAGAAGCAAACTGAATAGCTTGTGCGGGTTAGGGGTAGGAACGGACCGCGTGCTTAAAGTCTCCTCCACAATAGAACAAAAACAAATAAACAATTACCAATGTGGGACTCGAACCCACGACCTTTCGGCTTGTAGTCAGCAGCACTGACCACTAGTCTACCGTCGCGACGCGTCGCTACGCGTCGGCGGGGGACTGGTAGTGGACTAGATAATTAGTTGAATATTTAATAATCAACAGTAAATATATCACTAACAATTTGTATATTTAATATTTAACATTAAAAATTTTACTAAATATTTCGATATTTAATAATCAATAGTAAAAATTAATTTAAATAGTTAATATTTAATAGCGAAAATGTTAATAATTACTTGGATAACATTTTCAGCAGTGGGGGCTGGTGGATTTTGGGCACACCCATATCTCAGATATTAGACATGGGACCCACATCAAATTTATATGAGTTTATAATGACATTATATAGACAAGTTCTGCGCAAGCAGAATTTAAATTAAAGTTTGCGAAAAAAAGTTAGTTTTTAAGTGCAACCCCCAGCCTCCTGCCCCTCCAAATTAAGATTCAAATTAAAGTGGTACAATATTTAAGCTACTGAAGTTTATCGACAAATTTCAAATTTTATTAAAAAAATTCAAGGAATTACAGGTTTTATACCATTTATAATTTTTATTATTTCTTTTACTAAATTTAAAAAAATTTGAAATGTTATAAAATCTGTAATACTTGAATTTTTTTAATAAAATTTGAAATTTGTCGATAAACTTCAGTAGCTTAAATATTGTACCACTTTAATTTGAATTATCTAAATTTGGAGGGGCATGAGGCTGGGGGTTCCACTTAAAAACTAACTTTTTTTCGCAAACTTTAATTTAAATTCTGCTTGCGCAGAACTTGTCTATATAATGTCATTATAAACTCATATAAATTTTATGTGGGTCCCATGTCTAATAACTGAGATATGGGTGTGCCAAAATCCACCAGCCGCCACTGATTTTCAGTAACCCAAGTAATTAGTAGGTACTATATTCCTATCAATAACTTAATATCTAATTTATTAGTAATATTACAAAATATTACTATTGGATATTAAGTAATTAACATCCAATATATTACTAATTACTTCGTTTAATAAAAATTTTACAGATAACTTATACAATACGCATATTTTTATCCCCTTATGCCTTTTACCCACAGAAATACATTTTTGCGCCTTAAAAGTGATAAAACGTGTTAAAGGTTATGAAATGTGTTGGGTGCGGAAATGTAACCAATTTGTAAGTATTGACTATCCTGCCGTCCTAAGCCAAAAAGACTCATCTCGTTATTAACTTATTCTCTTATTCTATACATACATTTTTAAGTACTATATAGCTCTTAAAAATTGCTAATTAAATTGAACGTAGGTACCTTATGAAAAAAACAATAAAGCGCTATAATTATACTATAAAAATACTGTTTGTGAATTATGAATTATGTGGGATTGCTTGTTTAATGGTAATTTAGTCCAGGCCAAGTCCAGGCTACTTATGGTTGTTCCAAAACCAAGTGTTGGCAAGATGGATTTTTCACGGTTGGTTAACCAAATTAGAACTTGCCAAAAGTGCACACTCAAAAACCTTGTACAAATTCCTTTATGTTAAGTTTAAAATCGTATAAGGAGCCTGGACTAAATATCCTACCAAATTTTACAATATTCTCTTATTATTGAAGAATAAAGACTAATATTTTTTGGGTTTGCACTCCCCAAACAAAAACATATTCATGTATATATTTTATTTTATATTATATTATTACAACAATAAATAAATCTTATATTCATACTTGTTTTATTTAAAATATAGCAGTAAATACAATATATAAAGCATTAAAATTCAAATATGGCGCCAAAATTTGTTACAGAAATCTACTTTAATTTTTGGCATTGCTTAGGTATTGTAGACCTAGATGGCGTCAATTTACTTTAGCCTTTTGCCGTTAGCGCTAGTGCAGTTTCCAATCTATGGCGTGTATTATCTCTGGCCGGTGCTTCTATTATATTAAAAGATTGCAAAACTTTTCTGATATCCATCTCGAATCCAAACCAAAGAACAAATGCACAGAACAAATATCACAGAGTAAAGCCTGATTTATAGATTGCCTTCCTTCCTCTAGTAGAAGATAAACAATACAATCCCGTACGGGAATCTATAAACGGCACTACAGTTTTCGTATTGTTTATCTTTTACGGGAGGAAGGGAGGAAGGAAGGAAGACAATCTATAAATCATGCTTAAAGCTCACAAAACAGATGACAGATTGCAGCCTTTTTACAGAAAGTGAGGTTAGGTTCCCAGCGTTGACGGCGTTAAAGAAAAAAGTTGGACAACTGGCAGCGTAACACGGCGCGCCGCGGCGTTCAACGCCGCTGAACGGCGTTGAACACACACAACGCGCCGTACCATTGTGTTCAAGCCTATAGGATTGGCTGGAATAAGGAAAGTAGCAACCAAGGTCAAACAGGTTAGATATGACCATTTTTCATCTTTTTTTTACTGATACTCCTACTTCAGCCACACAATGTAGAAATTTGGGTGTACCATGTTTTTTTTTAAATTTATGTGCGTCATTTTCGAAGCTGTCAGTTAAACGTGTGTTTATTTTCGTTATACAACTAATATTATTTGTAGTAATTCTATTAGTTTTTGTGGCTATTTTATTTTTTAGTTAATTGTCCCCAACGTGTTATCATCCCTCCCCGCTACAAATGAGGACGTTTAGTTAAGTTTTTAGTGTAAGTTAAGTTTGA